TTTCCACTCAATTAATCTCACAATTAATATTATTAAAATCTTACAATTAATATATCTTACTTTTTTAATACTACTCGCATGTCCATTGGGGTTGTTTTTCTTTTTTTACTGTTGTTATTGATGTGGTTGCTGCTGCTGTTGTTGCTGCTACTATTGTAGTGTTATCGCTGCTGCTATTTTTGATGCTGCTGCTAGTGTTGTCACTGCTGCTGGTGTTGTCACTTTTTTGTTGATGTTGCTGATGTCGCTGCTAATCCTTCGCAGCCCAGACTATATCGAAGCCTGGTGTCCTTTTTTTCCTTTCCTTTCTTCGCAGCCCAGACTATTTCGAAGCCTGGTGACTTATTATTTCAAGGTTCAATCAATGCCAGTTGGGCGCCAGTTAAATAATTGTCTATAGCGAGTCGTAAGACGTTGCGCCTTTTGCAATAATTAATGGGTTGATATTGAATGACTTTTTATTTCCACAATCTTTATTGTTATCCAAATCGAACTAAAGCTAGAAATAATTTCAACTTAATTCTAAATATCCAAAATGCTGACTATGCGCTTGTGCGTTCGTTGACTGCTACCAGTTGGCTACTTTCTAGAGTTGGATGTTGAAGTACCGGTTTGCAAGAATTTCATCGTATGATGTCTGCAATAAGTGATGACTTAGCACCAACATCATGCCGCCAACGCGTGTTTTACTTGACCATAACTTATTGATAGGAGACTGTGTTAACTTATGTAATCAAAAATCGAGGGAGATTACTTTTTAGCTATATGCTTCGATCTGAATTTTCTCAAAGTAGATCTTTTTTCAAAATTGTAGTACCAGAAAATGTTTTTTCCCAATTAATTTTAAAATAATTTTATTAAAGAGTTTCTGAGAAAATCCGACAACTTAGCACATTTGCCTCTAAGATCAGATTCATGAAAAAAAAAAAAAAAAAATAAATAAATAAATAACAGTAATAATAATAATTCTCTTTCTATTTGTTCTCAGAATGTAAGGGGGCTTAACAAAGAATTAACCCGCTTGTATATTGAGAGCATTGGTTTTCTTTATAATGTGTTATTGTTATCCGAGATTTGGCTAAAACATCAATATTAAATAGTGGAATTGTATATTCGAAATATCAAATATTTAGAAAAGATAGCTAATTTAATTGATCTAAATGAATTGCCTGACATAAAGTTTATTGGAGTTTCCATTAAAATGAGCAAATTAAAATTGTTTATAACTTGTCCGTTTCATTCTCAGTCCTTTTCTTTTACAACTGTCCGTCATTATAAAATGGCTAATTTTCGCAAACTTAATATCCTTACATCCTCATAAACTGGGACTCTGTGTTCCTTTGACATAGTCACACAGATCTTGAATGTACAGTTGTAGATTTTATGATATTTTAAATAAACTTTAATAAAATGTGTTCCAAAGACTACAATTAAAAACTTCAATAAATATCCAAATATCTAAAGAATTCCAAAACTAAACGTTTTCGAAAATATAAGAAATCAGTTCTATCTACAGATTATACGAATTACTCTGTTCCTAGGTATAAATATACCATCGAGTTTCGTATGTTGTATAATCTTTACCCCCTATGATTTCGTTAATCTAAAAAGATAGGTTTGTTCGAAGCTCTTTATTATAAAATTTAACTGTAAAGAATTTGTTGCAGACGTTGATATTGCTGAATATTTCGCAAATTTTTTTCTACATCTTACTCATGAATACCTTACGAAATTAAAGATTCTTATCCCTAAAAGTTGTCACAGACTGAACAAATTGGTATGCCTTTTCTACAATGTCGAGACGTATCCAACGTAGTAGTTTAAATCAATTAAAAGCCCCTTTCTAGAAAAAAGTCTTCTATAGTACCTTTACACAACTCTGGTAATCTAACAAATGTCTCAAATTATAAAGAAATCGCCAAATGACACTTTACATCCCATAATTATTTGAAAAATTAGTTACTGCGGTAATTTCTCTCAAAATTCAATCCTTACTGATTTCTCATCAGCGTGGCTTTCGTACACTAATCCACTACAAATCTTATACAATTTACATTAACGGTTAAAAAAGATTTTGTTCAGGGTTATCAAACTGACACTATTTATACATATATAGCAAAGCGTTTGATAGGGTTAACCATGAGCACCTAATATATAAATTATCGTTTGTTCCACAAGGAAGTCATCTTAGCCTGGCTCATTTCTTTTATTTGTCCATTATTTACCGAATTCTATAAATTATTCGAAATTGTTAAGGTATGCATATGATGCTATGTTATTTATTACTCATAATTCCAAAAAACAAGCTAATTTTCCATTTCAACGGTGTCGGTTAAATTGTATGGATTAAAATTTAACAAACAAATGTAAACACACGTGCTTCTCCAGATCTCATTCATTGATATTGCAATTTAATATTAACGCCATGTTTTGTCAACTGTAGAATCATTTGTGAATCTTGGTCTTTTAATGTATCTAAAATTAACATTTAAAAGTAATGTAATTACAATGGTAAATAAAGAAAATGGTTTTGTAAAACGATGGGCCAGAGAATTTTCTGATCCATATATACCCAAACATTTATTTACGTCTCTTGTTAGGCTTATATTAGAATGGGGTTTTAGTATAAGTTTAGAAATTATAATATGTACAATACTTTTTTTTTAAACCACTAATATATGTAAACTAGCTGATGAAGTAGAACGTTCGAGAAAACAAAAAAAAAAAAAAAAACAAAATTAATGTTACCTTCAAGAATTCAATTTATATTGGATAATATACAACGCATTAAAGTTTAGCTTGCGTGATTTACTTTAAAATGAAGTAAGTAATGTTTAAATATTGTTAAGTTTAATCGTTACCACAAGCTCTGAGGAATGAGGAGACAGAATGTATCACGGTCGAAGAAACAAATAAATCCAATATTTTGGCTTTTGCATTTTAGACAGAATTCATTTTATAAAGACATTGATCAAATATAATTTCCCAAAAAGATTATATTTCAACCGACAGTTCTGTAGAAGAGACTTCTACATAATACAATATAAGAGTATATTATAATAATATTTCAATTTATATTATTTAATTAAACACAAACAAATTCATTTTTAGGGTATTCTATAACCAATATACGCGGCGCAACATCAGTAAGCATAGGCATAGGATTCCGTTATTAAGGTCTGCAAAATCAGGCTTTTAATTAATATCGGAAGTATATGCAGAAACAGATTTTGTTTTTTTTTAACCGATGGATGCTTGATCGAAACAGAGAGATTATTAGATCCTAGATGCACAAAATAGTACGTTTGCGGTGATCTCAGTCGTTGATGAAACATCAACGAATGTAGACATGCGTGGGGGATGCAGGCGTTGTTGCTCCGTTAACATTAAGAAAACAAATTATAGCTTTTGTAGAAAATTATAAATATATGGAGTTTATATTTAATGTTTTTTAATAATTTTGCTAACTTTAAGCACGATTCTAGTTACAAAACGTCCAAAACAAGAAGGGAGATATTTTTTACGTGCTTTTTGGTTTCTCTCACACACAAGCGCAATGTTCATTTTGTGCATCTATGTATTAGATTCTGTAGTAATAGAGGTTTCCTTCAACGGTCCCGCTGAAGGTAGAGAAGTTGGGGGATTGGTATTATCAATTGTACTGGATGCGATAACAACAATTTGCGGTTGCTAAGAATTGAGGAGCTTTAAGTACGATTTTAGAAGATTTAATTTCGACCGAAGATTTTTCTGAAGCAATTTCCATAGTTCTATAATCAGTAGAGGATGGGATGTCCGACCCAAACTATATGGCAGAACTGTGTGGTTGAGCTACAGCTTGTGCGTTTAAACGTTAATTAATTTCCAAGACTTCAAATGTCTAAAGTAAACTATATATTTCATGATCACTAAGAACATCAAAATGGTGGGCATTAAGACCTGCACATTTTAAGCCAACACATTAGAAATCATTCTTTTAAATAAGTAATTGGTAAATTTTTATTTGAACAATCTATGATAATGAGAAATAGAAAGGAAATAATGTATTAAGAAAATTGTGTGGCAATCAATTTACAGTATCTGGCTATGAGTATGCTAAAGAAAGCCAATTTAATACGTACAGAAAAGCAAAAAGGAATCAGCTACAAACGTCATAAACAAAGAAAATAACAGTACGGTGTTTATACTATGAAAAATTCACACTTTTAAAAAGTTTTGAAATATGTTTAGTTGAAGAAATACTTGCCCAGTACGTCGAATCCATCACAACATTATAGGCCTCAATTTTCATTGAGGTGGCACCGCCGCGATCAAAATGTTCCTCAGTTTCTTATATTTAACTATCTCAACATTTACCTCTGAATCGGTTTCAATTGAATTGCAAAAAATATGCACAATCCGGAACTGGAACAGCAACATGTTGCGTAAGAAGCGTTGCTGTTCAGACTGCGGTGGATCTCCATACTCCGTCAACCTTGACTCAGAGTCGCTTGAATCTACGTTGTTGCAGCACCAATAAAATGTGCAATAAAATATCGATTTTTTTAAAAAATTTCTGGCATAAATCGATTTGCTATTTCTGGTACGTCCAATGCAAAACACAATTCGTCGTTGTTTAAACGCAATGCACGTAGAATCTAATTCAAAGTTATTACGATAAAGCATATGAAAAAAAAAAACAGTAGTGCGATCGATTAAATAAACTTATATTTAGAATTTCAGTTTTTCATTGAAGATATTTGTACGGATATTGAACATACTTTGTCATTCTACCTCAAAATTGTTTACAGCCATTACTCACGTTACGTTAAGTCGTGCCAATAAATAACATTTATTCTCTTTAGGCAATATTTTCTTTAAATGTATTGTATGTGGACAAACAGCATCTGAAATTACTCGCTTTGGGTTTTTTAATCTGTTGTGTTGTACATCGAATTGTATTCTCTATTCTTATCTATTATATGTTATTAACAATATTCACGCATTATTATTTTTTTCAGGACAACGAATATTCGAACACTGATCGTGTTCGTAGCAGTGACTACTGATCAAGTGAAAGCCTAGAGATTATCTAGAAGATAACGATGACCCGTAATTAAGTTTTAATACGATTATTTATGGCATTATTAAATTGTGCGTATAAATCATAAATTAAAGAGCCGATTTATCTAATGCATTAAAAATATGCTGCATTCTTCAATTTCAACTAAACACCAACACGATGATAGAGATGGCGATTAATAGGTGGATATGCAATAACATATACCCTTTTATTTATTAATATATGTAACACGCCGTTTTTTACTCGTAATAAAATTCAATTACAGCTGTAAAAGCATTCACATAATAAAAGGCAAATAAATTATGTAATAATTAATACAAAACTTATCGATACATTATTACAGAAGGAATTAAATCTTATAATATTTTTACGTAATTATTTATTAGTATGTAATTATATTTCAATTGACATTTGATGTTTCGATCATTACCCAACAATGAAGATTTGCTATAGAAGTTATCATTGTAGCTGCACTGTTATAAAAGTTAGAAAATCATCATAAGACATACTAAACAGATCGAATAGAATCAATAGCATGTAACAAATTCATCAAGTATTTGTGTGTACACGTCTAATTATGTATATTATTATCATGAAGTAAATTTTCATCTAATATATCTAAACGAAATATAAAATAAATACATATAAAACCCATATGCTATATTTGTATTTTCCGGTATCGGGTACATTATATTGCAAAATTACTGCCCACCTTCTGTTAGGCTGGATTTTAGATCAAAGCATGAACAGTTTAAGCATGACATGAGTTATGAAAACCAGTATGTATATAAAATTTTAATTTTTGTTTACAACTCAAATGAATTTTGGAAAAAATCTGGATTTAAATATCTTCGATTTCATTAAATTGGATGCTGTGCCCGAGACTTACAGCAGTCCTTATTCTCTTAGAAAAATTTTTTTCCATCTTCTTATTTAGTATTAAGGGACAATTTGTTTATAAATTAATAAGAGAATTTCTTATGTATCCATGAATGCCATTTCATGTCTAAAATTTATATTCTATTCGCAGAAACAAAAAGAAATATAACTTAAGTTAAAAGTTTAATGAAACAATCCAATAAAATCTTCTGAAAATAAACAAAAATAAGGTACAACGTTTAGAAAATACAAACACACAGTGGTCGAGGCCGCATGGGAACCGCGATCAAAAATATTTTCAGTGCAGATATCAATATGAATCTTTGGTTATGGTACTTTGATGTAATAAAAATAAAAAATAAGGGTTATTTGCCCGATTCTTGTCACATTTCCACACCAGATTGTTCTGTTATTTGACATTTTACGTTCTAAAGTGTTAAAAAATAATCTTACTGAAAATTATTTGGAACGGACCGCCTTCGGGTAGAGTCCCCCTCTAAAGGTACCTCCAAAAATAGAAGTATTTTTATACAAATAAATTCCAAATTTAATTATTTTTTGTAAACAAAATAAAACAATTCAATATAAAATTAAATCAAAATATATATTTATAAGTTACAATATCAATTGGGCAAATCAATCAAATGCAGATTTTAATAATATAGATTTTTTATTGTTTGGCAACGTTCGCTGTCCCGTTATAAAAGGATCGGAGCTCAGAAGAAGACGGTTAATAAGAGCTGTGTTTGTTGAAACACGAGCATTTTTTCGGGTATGATTTTGTCGAACCTTTTTTATATCTTCATTTCTAGATTCCACGGCCTCATCCTATAATTTTCCAATCGATACAATGGCAAATGTATAATGTCGGGTGCATGTATTAAAATTTTATGAACTGTGGGTGGAAGATAGTGCCATGGATATCTCTTTAACTGTTTCCAGTGCAAAGGCCTTAAATTTTTCGGCATTAATATTAAACCCAGTACACAATATTTAACACCCCTCAATTACATCTTTATCAATCCCAAACAACATAAACATATTCTATGTCACTAGCACCATAAAACTGACAAAATTCCAGAGAAGTCACTTCAGTATATTCGGCATAACATACACATCTGACAAAATCTGAAGGTTAAATTTGCACTTTTAGAATCTTAGGACCATTACTAATGGCGTGAAAAAATCATATTGGAGGATTCAGGGGGGAAAACAATTAAAACTTTAACTGAAATTCAATAATATTCTCAAAATTAATCTTAAAGGCAACTCAGAACACTCACATCTTCTATATTATACACAACTACTAAACACGCAAATTACTGCACTAAAAATAAGTCAATACCTTGCTTTTCAATAATTATGCCAAGATTTGTCATTTTAAAATGTATTTAATTTCACTGATCCCACTGAAAAGAGCAACTAACTACATTTTCTCTTTTTTGATGCTATTCTCGAAGTGGGCCGTTAGAATGAAACCAAGATTATTATTTTTTCTAAAAAGCTTAACCTCTTAAGAGTACATGTGTACACATTTGACAATAAATATCTGATTTTCATTTTTTGAATTTTGGCCAATGGCAGCGACCACTGTGCAACAGTATGAATTTAGAATGAGGCAGGTTGCCCTTATAACTCGTATTGAGTTGAGGGGCTATGCTCGGATTGTTCTGAATTTTTTACCGAAAATGGGTCCATTATGGGGTATTAAAAACTGCAAACCACATATAGCCTACACTCTGCCCTTTCCAAAATGGTATCAAAGGTATTGATATCTCTTGTAGTTCCGAAGATATTAGTGTTAAGATCAAGAAATTGAGATTTTCTCCACTAATATATATTTAACCTTTATCGCTTTGCAGTTGCGAAGATATTGATTTTAAAGTCGAATTCCGGCTACTTACAAAAATTATGTTTAGAAAAACTATGGATCGCGTAGCCGGTGTTGTACATACTCTAGAGGAGAAAATTTCAAGCACCGGCCGAAGACCGGCTACTTACAAAAATTACAATGTTTAGAAAAACTATGGATCGCGTAGCCGGTGTTGGACATACCCCAGTGGTGAAAATATCAAGCCCTGACCGAAGGCCGCCTACTTACAAAAATTACAGTGTCTAGAAAAACTATGGATCGCGTAGCCGGTGTTGGACATACCCTAGAGGAGAAAATCTCAAGCTCCTGCTACTTACAAAAATTACAATGTTTAGAAAAAATATGGATCGCGTAGCCGGTGTTGGACATACCCCAGAGGAGAAAATCTTAAGCACCGGCCGATGGTCGTCTACGTAAAAATGCTTAGATACATATTAGTGGAGAAAATCTCAATTTCATGATATGCATCACAAATATCTTTGGAACTCCGGAACCGGTTCCAATAACCCTTATCATATGACAACTTGGATATGTAATTCCATAAGCTTTCAAATGATACCCATTTTGTGTAATTTTATGTCTGGTTTCTCAAAGTATAACCAACCCAAAGTATACCCAACATAGTGGGACCTCTTGATGCTCGATAAATCAATTAATTTAGTCCCAATTTGCAACCTGAAGGGATATAATTCTGCATTTTGCGTCACATTGGATAGAAAACTTCATATTTTTACGGATAATGTAAATTTTATTTTGAGTGGCCCAGAAGTAACTGTTTTAATAAAGAATAAATGGAATGTCAGTCAGTATGGTAAATTATGATTTATAATACCTTAAAATATCTCAGAATAATTGTATTAGATATATTGGTCCTTTCTTGTGTATTTTACATGTTTCCTTCACAATTTGCATGGAAAAGATATTTTTTGGATAATATTTTTCAGATAAGTTTAAAAATAGAATATTGATATTGCTATAAACATATAAGATAGGTTACATAAAGAAAAGAATTTACGAGAAGAATTTATAAAAAAGCTAACAGCTATGCCAAGAGTCTGATCACAAACACAATAATGGATGACGTTTTCATGAAGGTAATGAATAAAGAATCTGCCTATGATATTTGGCAAGCTCTGCATCAGCAATTTGAAGAAACTTCCAAAGATCAATTCTTTAAGATGTGCACGAATCTATTTTATTTGAAATGAATAGCAAAAAATTACGTTTCTACAAATGTATCCAAGCTCAAAAGCCTATGGTAATAAAATATGAAAAAAACTACCTGAATTGCTGTAAATATGTAAGATATTACACGTGTTGCCAAACTCTTTCAAATCTAGTTGGATCATGCTAACATGAGATAAAGACAAGCCCCTAAATGAAATTTTTATGCAGCTCTGATTATTTGAAAGAAATATCAAAAAATCTGCAAATCTTGCACAAATGTGGAGAAACGGGAAGCTTTAGTGCTAAATGAAAAGAAGTTAACAAATAAGAATCTTAAAGTGAAAAGAAAAGCGGAAATTGTCACTATTGCAAGAAAATGGGGCACGTAATAAAACCTTTCTTTGTTTGCGGGGAACCTAGATGAGACCGAAGAAAGATGGAATTTATAAACTTTTGTAAGGTATCGCCATATCCGTGGATTGAGGGCTATGGGAGCCATTGAATTCTAGCCGCTGTCGGTCTTGGGTGGGTTACGTTCTGAGTTCAACGAAATGGATTTAGATACGGAACATTTTATAGGCTTTCTATTTTTTGAAAATAATTCATAATTTTGTGGCGGATTCATTCAATTACCTGGATCTCAGATGTCTTGAGATCAGCGCATCCTAGCCCTCCCTTACCATTGTCCCTTCTGCGCTACTTCAAAGGGTATCCAATATAATATTTGGACACACACCACCACATCTTACGAAAACACTGGATTATTTTCTTACTAATTCATATTAGAAAATAATTTGTTCAAGACATAATTTGAAATAATTGTATATATACATATATAGAATCTAAGTAGCGATTTAATGATATAATAAAATTCTTGTAATTACACTCTTTCAAATTTTTAAAATATTTGTATGCCTTAAGGGCTGAATATTAACCAATTTAATTACATTTTTTCTCAATGGTTTATAGATGTTTACAAACATTTTCTTTTAAAAATTCTATTTGAAGATATTTAGATTTTCCAATTTATCAGGCATCAATATTTTTCAAACATGGTATGTTACGTTAGGTTAAAGGATGCGCGGTTGCAAGAAAAAAAACCACTCCACTCGGAGACCTTTTGGTCCATTGTGTTCATCATAATTAGGAAAATACAAGAGTAGAATAGAGAAAAGAAAAGAAATGAATATCTAGGAATGAAGAAATAAGAAATTGTATAGAGAATAGAGAATTTAGTTGGTTTATGTCCACGGTGTGTTAAAGCATCGTCTTTAGCCATTTTAGTCGTCTGTATATGAAGTGCCCATCTGGAGAGTTTAACTAGCGGATTCATTCAATTACCAGGGTCTTAGATGTCTTGAGATCGGCGTATCATTGCCTCCCTTACCATTGTCCCTTTTGTGCTACTTTAAAGGGTCTCCAATATTATATTTGGACACACTACCACATCTTACGAAAACACTGGATTATTTTGGCTTGGCTTCACTTATCAATTCCCGACAGTTTAATTAATTTGCAAAGGTATTACTGTATAGGTCGGACAGAGGACGACGTGGGGAATGCATTGTCATTTTCGTTAAAAATACATTATATTCTCGGTTACGAATCAAATCAAGTGAAGGTGAACATTGGACTCCATCAACTTGAAGATGTTCTGAAGAATGTTACAATGGGATATAACAAAGTTATTATAACTGGAGATTTTAATTGTAATATTCTTAATGACGCTTCATTA